TTTTTTTTTGAAGGTTTGAATTTCCCCTCGTCTTTTTCCTCATCGTTTTCTTCTTTTCTCTGCAGACATTTTTTTGAATAATTTGTTTCTCTTTTTTTTTTTTTTTTCCCCGGCCTTTGTTTTATAAAAGGGCGGGAAAATGGAAAGGACCTAGCTAGCAGCTATGGTATCATTTAAGAAGGAATTTGGATGCTCGACGTGCGGGATTACGATTCTTCTGTGAATTCTTAGCAGCTTCCATCTTCCCGCGAACACAACGCTTTGACCGTATGGGACCGGTGGCCTGCATACACATTCACGGTCAGGGTTAATTTTTGTGTCGCGGGGAAGACGGTATAGGTTTATATTCCCGGTGGGCCCTCGGATTTTTTTTTTTAATTATTATTATTTTTTTAATAGAGGGCAAAGGCCTTCAGATATCTTCTTTGAACTGAACGGCCCGAGGTAATCCGGAATGATTTTATTCTGGTCATCTGATTGTATCTGGATTCGAACTTGGGTCTGATTCATATTTCAACAGTTCGTGGGTGTACCAACTGAGCTATGCCCGTTGGTTGGTAGGATGCTTCGTTTGTGTTTACTCAAGGATCTGGATTTTTGTTATACTGGGGCCCCTGGATTCTTTTTTCTTTCTTTTAAACTTGGGTACCTACAATTAAAAAAAAAAATAATAATAATTATAAAAGCTACCTTCTCCTCATCGAGGGACAGCCATATATTTTTCTCTCATCTCACATATCTTTTTTTTAAACTGGCGTTCAGCCATGTCATCATGGAAAAAATATCTTTCACTTCACTACCTGCCACAACTCCTCCTGGATTCTTTTTTTTTTTTTTTTTTTTTTTTTTGTACTGGGGGACGTGGAATGTTAACCCCCCCAAGTTCATGATAAAAAGGAAAGGAAACCTTTTCGTTGGAGGGTAATAGATCATTCATATAAATGGAGCTCCTACTCCTACTCACAGATAGAGCTCCTAACAGATGGGGCAATGGTAGTGGGGCGAATTTCATTCAGCCTGTATGTGCAGGTCAAGAGACTTAATGAGGGGGGGGGACCACTACGGTGTACGAGCAGCTGGCCCGTTGTTCGCTTTTTTTTTTTGTTTTTTGTTTTTTTTACGTATATATCGATAGATCGACCTCCTAATATTTCAAGCATTCAATGTGTGTTTGAGGTCGGTGGTGATCCGTGGTTCCATTGCCTGCAGGATGCTTGAAACTCTCTCACAGCTATCTGCGCTAAGCGATTGTCTGTAATTTTGTATGTGTTTCTCCGTTCTGTATGTGTACGTGTGTTTGGGGGGGGGGGGGGGGGGGGGGGGGGGGGGGGGGGGGAAGGTGTAGTGCTGTCTTGTGTGTGATCTGGATGATTGGTTGTGCAGAACATCTAGGATTCCCGTGCGGTACGTGTTTGGGAAGCGACCAATTGACGTCAAGGATGTTTCGGAGAAGTTACTGCGGATTGCTTTGGGGGAACTGAACAAACCCCTATTAGTAAGGCTGTTACGACCCCTTTATCACCTCTTCTGACCCCCGATGTATAGCATCCCTTCATCATGGATACGAAGGCTTCCACAGGTCCAACTGTGTTCAACACCACTTGCGCACCGCCACTCCTACCCCGTCTTCTACTAGAACCAGACCCACTTGGATTGTTTCGGTTTCTTTGACATGGAATTCTTCACAGTTGCTTTGGCTTGCTCTTTGACGTTGCGTGGGTACTCTGGGAATTTTGTTCTGCTATTTTTAGCTTCTTTCCTTTCCCACTGTCCTGTCCTCTTCCTTCCTTTTCACTGACGGGCGCATGGCACCTACCGTCTTCACCCGAATAGAACATACGGTCATTATATCCGTCTTCGGCCCAACTTTTTGTCCAGATGCAGCGAAATTGTATTCGGCTGAAGACCGTACTGTGCAGCTGAGTTGTCGCTCAGATGCCTTGATGCTACTACGACTAGTAGCATGACTATCATGTCCTGGGATTGGAACCAGTGTGTGGGGGGAGAAGGTGGAGAGGGATGGGGGGCGGGAGAGGAGGGGGCGGGGAGGGGGGGGCCGGGGAAGTGAGTGGCAGAGGCAAAGGGGAGAAATGCTGAAAACTTGATGTGAAGAAGGTGGTAAGAAACACAAGGCGAATTGAGCTCTAGCTTGAGGGCGAGTTGGAAGCCATTGTCTTGCTTGTTTCTTTCTCCAACAGTTGAATTGAATTGGTGGAACTGCTGTGTCTCTTTCTGTCTCTCTCTCTCTCTCTCTCTCTCTCTCTCTCTCTCTCTCTCTCTCTCTCTCTTTCTCCTCTCTCTCTTTCTCTGTGTGTGTATTTCTCCTATGCCTCTGTCTGTCTGTCTCTCTCTCCGGCTCTGGAAGTGTCTATTCTCCACAGTGTTTGACATTCCCAATTTTGGGTTGTGCTTGGCGACTGTCCTGCGTACAAAGTTTTTGACAGTCTGGATGGAGGGAGCGCCGCTGCAGTCATCATGTTGAATGTTGATGATGGGGTGCATTCCCTCTGCGTTCTCTTTCTCTCATTCTCCCCTTCTGTGTCTCTCATTCCTCTCCATCCCTGTCTGTCTAGTGCTTGCTGCGTGTCTGTCTCTGTCTGTGTGTCTTAATTGCTTTCTCTTGCT